ATTATCATTTTAACATAAGATAGGGAAGGGATCTTTTGAAATACTATTCATATACTATCTCATTTACATCTCGAGCCTATAAAATTGGTGTGGCAAGCCTCAATTTATGCATGAGGAAACTGAGTCACAGATTAAATCACTGGCCCAAGGTTACAAAGAAAATGAATAGCAGATCTAAGATCTGAACCCTATTTACTCTGTCTGAATGTAGAGCTCAAGTCCTGGGTGCTGTTCGCCCTCTGGCCTATGTCTGGTCTGGTTACTCAAGGAGTTGCTATATTTTAACATTATGAGATTAATCGAGATCAACAGAAAAAGAGCCTGAAAGCAAAACTCAGGTTTACCCCCTTTCATTTGCTTAGCCAGCTCTCTACCCCTCATAGCATAAAGGGAGATTATGAGTATAATTTCTTTCTGAATTATAACTAGTCAGAATGAATGAAATTCAAATTTGCTGTGGGATTTGCAACTAGACAGTATATACTTATTAGAAATAATTAACAGGACACAAACACTTTTCAAGCTATTATTAAACTAGAAACAGGATAAATTAGACTTCTCGAAACCCTGATTATCTTTTCCTTTTCTTTTTCTCAAGAAAGAAAAAAAAAAATCCCTGCTTTGCTTATGCTGGTGACAAGAACATTAATTTTAATCAGTCCTTATAATTAAGTATTAAAAGCGTCCCTTGCTTTCTCATAGATCCCTAGGGAATAAATGACTGTATCTCTGACTTTACAATTCATCAGAAAGAGTTACTCTATTTGGAATACACACATAGGTTGATTTTAGGAATTTATTAAAAGAAAAATATTTCCAGGAATAGAAATATGATTTCATTTTCTGCTTGAGTGAGGATACTATGCAGAAAACATCTCTGTTTCTACCTGAACGTTTAAAATCTTTCTTAGTAGATTAGCGATTCTTCCTGTGCATCGGAAGCCAATCCAGTTAGCCTGGGCTGACCATGCCTTCACAATGGGGTACTCTGCTGTTTCGCTGCCTTTATCGCAAGTAGATGTGACACAGGTGAGGAAGATAGACAAGCTGAACATAAAAGACTCCTGGACATGATACACATGTTTTAGGCAGATGGGATGGTGGGGGCAGTAATGAAATACATCACGCGGGAAGGCGGCCCACGTGGGAAGGTTCCAGGTTCCCACTGAGACCTCCCTGAATACACCTGGCCTGCAAGTGCCCATGATTCGGGGCTGGGTGAGGCTGAGGGTGGAACGCAGTGTCAAGACCCTGCGGGAAGGGCTTTCTTTCTCTCTCACTCGTAGAAGTGTATGAATACACTTTTAAAAAATGTTTTAAAAAACAACTAATCCCACTAAACAAGAAAAACCTCTAATATCTGGCCTGTGAGTACACACTACTATTGAGTAACGGGAGAATGGAGTTTAGCTGGGTATTCTAATTGATATTCTGCTGTTTTATTGATACTAAAAATGTACTTATTCGTTCATTTATTCAAGTACTTACTGAAAGTCCACCATGTGACAAGAATTTTTTTTTTTTCCCAGTATCTGAGATACACCAGCAAACAAAGCAGATAGAAAACATTCCTACCCTCATGGAACATACATTCCAGTAGGGGGAGAGAGAAAACGAACAATCAATAACATAAGTTATACTGTATGTTAGGTGGTGGTAACTGCTAGGGAAAAAACGGACTAGGGTATAGGAGAATCAGAGTTTAGGAAGAAATGGGTCATAATCATATAATTTGTAAGAATTATTTCATCTTATTCCTTATTATTATTACTTTTTAAATTGATCAGAGAGACAGAAAGAAAGAGGGAAAGTGAGAAAGCAAGTCGCCAGGACTCGAACCGCAGTTGGCCATGTGGAAGTCCAGCACCTTAACCACCACGCCACCTGCTGTCACCTGGGTTATAATTTAAAATAAGGTTGTCAAGGTACCCCTTGCTGAGATGATGACATTTAAGCAAAGAACTGATATAAGTTAAGGAATAAGCCATGCAGCTATCAGAAAAAGAGAACGCAGGTTGAGCATCCCTATTTTGAAAATGCGAAATTCAAAACTTTTGGAGTCCCAACATGTATCGAGAACCCTAGTGGAGAATTCTGCACCTAACTGCATGTGACTGGTTGCAGTCAAAACACTGCAACACACATGGGCCAGCAGATGGCATGGTGGTTAAGGAACTGAATCTCACATGGTTGATTCTTTGGTTTGAGTCCCAAACCCAGTGGCTTAAAGAACATGCCAGGCACCTGGGCCTGTGTGCCCAAAATCCTGAGAGAAGAATGGAGAAGAAGAGACTGCAGCATGGTCATCCCCACCAGGGGATGATTCTCACCTTCCGTCTCTCTCTCTTTCTCTGTCTCTCTGGTAAGCGCATATACCCTAAGGCAAAAATCTGAAACACACACACAAAAAAGTTGCAAAGCAAAAGTATTGTGTAAAATTACCTTTGGATTATGGGTATAAGGTGTACACGAAACATAAACAAATTTCGTGTATAGATCTGAGTCCGATCCCCATAAGATCTCATTAAGCATATGCAAATATTAAAAAAAAAATTCAAAATCTAAAACACTTCCCCTCCCCAGCATTCCGAATAAAGGATATTCTACCTGTACGAGTCAGAGTCAGCGGGGACAACAAAAGCAAAGGGCCTAGGGTAGAAGGGGAATGGCCAAAGAGACCAAAGTGGAGGGAGACAGGGAGGGAGGGGAGGGAGGTAGCGGCTGGGGGGGGGGGGGGGGGGGGGCAAGAACGTACATATTAAGGGTAACTGTGACTGCCATCCACTTGACCTTGATTCCTGTCAAGAGCCAATAGAGCTGTTTGCCTGAAACATCACAGTGGTGTCACCACAGATCAAAATAAAGGCGCAACGACTACAATGCGAAGACCATTAAAAAGCAAAGGAAACATTTCACTTTTTCAGTGCTGACCTGACTTCAAAACGCTTTGACGATTCTAGTCTATGAGGAAGGATGCTGCAGATAGTATAACAGAGCCAACTTTTAGATTAGTCAAAGCTGGCCTCAAAATAACCCTTCTGTTTCTGGCAGCTAGGTTGGTTTCAGGGACCTTGATAAACAACATGAGTTTTTACTTCTAAAGTGTGTATGTCACTATAGGAAGTTAAACGTCTTTGAGTAATCCAACAGCTAGGTTTCAACAGAAATGAATGGGGTGTGTCTCTGGGAAGTGAATATGCTCAGATTCATTTGGATGGTCTAATTGTACTTAAGAAACAGATTTGTTATAAAGGCGCTCGTATTTGTTAAATGACTGGCAACATGAAAATACATGGTGTTAGTTATTTTAGCTAAAGAATGTCGAGATCTGAATAATCACGCATTAGGTTACAAAGTTTAAAAGTTAATACAGCAACACACGGTATTTGTATTAGTGCTTTAAGGAGATAAATTAAATTGAAATGTGTCTCTTAAGCAGTCATTGAACAAGCGAGATGAGAAATAAATTGAGCTGCACATTGCCCTTTACGGCATCTAACAACTGCGTCTGTCAACACATGGATCCTTTTCACTGTCAATTCAACACACATTCTGCAGACCTTGGGCCTGCAATTATTTCATTTCCTTTCTTGGAAATGTAATTTCCACTTACTTTTGGAGAATAAAAGGCGGACAAAAGGAGGAAGGAGTTGCAGTATTTTCTGATTAAGATTATCTGTGTAAGATGGTAAAGGGAAAAAAAAAATCTATACACACACAGTGAAGCGTTTCTCAGAAACTAACTTGTCTCAACCAAATTGCTTTTGTGCCTGGATATTGGTTCAAATGTACCAGATTGTTGATGTCAAATTAAGTGTTAAACAAATTTAATAGGAACGATGAAGAATGAATATAGATCATCTTTCTGTTAGCACAGTTCAAATGACTCTAGTCAAAAGAAAGGAAACGCATGACTACGGGAGAAAATGTGCTTTTAAACACAATGAAATTAGATAAAACTGTAAATCGGCAAAGCAGGCCATTCATTCCCAAAGAGAAAAAAAGTTCACAGTACCAAGGAGAGAAACACAAGAGACGAAGATAATACCAGTTGGCAAAAATAGAACCAAGTCGTATTTCAACTTCATTTGTCCAGGTTTCGCCTTTTAAGCTCAGACGGCTAAAGCTACAAAAGGGGGTTCTTCCTCTCTCAGTAGAACAGGAAACCAGAGGCTTAATTAGCCGTGATTACAATATTTGGCTGATCTGATTCTTCTCACCTCTTCCTTTTCTTTCAGTGACAGACTCTCTGACATCCCGGCAAGAGAACTAAAGCGAAACCGTAGACTAATTTCACAAAGAGCTTGGCATTGTTATGAAACAAATTGAGCCTTCACTAGATCTGTCTGAAACACAGTCAAGAGCAGGATTAACTCTGACCATCAAAGGGCCACTCTGAAACGAGTCTATAGAAATAACTCTTTACATAGTATGTTTGCAATCTCAGGACGGAGCAATACGAAGGCGCGGAGGACCGGAAATAAGACTGTACAAACGTACCCATCGAAGAGCCTCGAAAAGATCTAGTTATCTTCTTCAGCCTCTCATGAACCATTAAGAGGGATGGATCGAAGCATTTAATCTTAAAAGACTGACCGTCTTGTGATGCGTGATAGGTATCATCGAGGTTGATTCTTTGTATAGAAAACCCTGGTTACCAAACCAGTTGAGGGAAAGAATGCTTTTTATACATGGTATTTGCTTCGGATATGAATGAGACCTCAATACTAGGCACCTAGACTCAAAAGTCAGCTCATCAAATGAAAGAAGAGTATTTATTGGCTAGCCAAATCAAAATCTCTTGGAAGAGAAACAAACCAAAAAAAAAAAACAAAACACACACACACACACACACACACAGAGTATTTATTGGCTAGCCAAATCAAAATCTCTCGGAAGAGAAACAAACAAAAAACAAAACAAAACAAAACACACACACACACAAGTTAGTCATTATAGATTCTTCTACACACTACTTAGTAAAGAGCATCATTACTTACTGAAATGTAACCTTGGAACTTGTGCATCCTTCCAATTTACGGGGCCCTTCACCTGCCTCAGGTGTTGGGGGGGACGGGCTGTTGAATTCTGCCTCCAGAGTTTTCTTGTTCAAGGCTGTTTTTGTTACACTGGATACAGAACCCAACACTGGCATGGATTTGGACTCTGAGGTGGCTAATATCCCGGTTGGACCTTAAAACCAAACACATACCTCAAGTTTAATCATTCTGTGTACTGCTTACAGATAGGGTGCTGAAAAACAGATTAGCTGAAAATCCCTCAAGAAGTGAAAAGGCCAAGTTTGTTAGCAATTTCAAGAGCATGCTGAAAAATGTTCCTACTGGAAATCTACTCTGCTTTGGGAGAACTACCACTTTTTAATGCACCAGGACCATGCTGAGAAATTGTGTACAGACCTTTAAAAAGTCACAAAATCTGAGGCCATAGTCCCCTCACTGACCAGGGTCCTTAGTAACTGTGAACTGTGAAAACACTTTTCTTCTCGCAGAGTATGGCTTGCTGACAGCCCTCCCTGAAACATTTTGCCTCTCAAGAGTTAATTCTTCCCAAAACTCAGCTCTGCATTTTAAATAGAAAATGGAATGATGTCAAAAGGCTCTTTTAAAAAGGCTCATGAAGCCTTCTTGAGCATTAAACAGCTTTTATGAACATTTTCATTTTAATGTGAATGAGAAGTAAGTGGATTTATTTCCTGTTAAAATACAGACATAGGATTATAAAAAATTAAGTGGCAAAGAGTTTGGCTGTTTACCTTTTGGACTTTTCTGCTCTTTGGGATAGGATTTTAAAACTAAAATAGGACTCATTACTGAAATTATTGAATCTAAAAAATCTGAGCATTGAAACTAATTCCCATGATAACCATTTTTGCTCTCTTTAAGTAGGAAGATTCTATATCAGCAGTTTTTCTCAGAGTAAAATTCTGGAATTTCTTTTGGAACTTTGGAAGAAATGAATTAAAAATGAAAAGATTCATGAAATAAGTCACAAATATGCAAATCAGACAATAATTTCTAAAACCGAGGCTAGAGAACAACCTAGAAAGGTGCCGCTAAGAGGAGAATAAAATTCGGGAATCTCTTTAAGAAATGCCATTCATCTTTGGGACCAGCAGTTAGCGTAAAGGCTATGTCGCTGGACTCCCATGTAGTTGACCATGGTTTGAGTCCCAGACCTGGTGGCTTAAACTCATGCCGGGCGCGTGTGTGTGCGTGCCCAAGATCCCGAGAGGAGAATGGAGAAGGGATTGCAGCGTGGCCAACCCCCCTAGGGGGGGGTGATTTCTTGCTTTCTGTCTCTCTGTCTCTCTCTTGTCTTTCTGGTGAGTGCACATGCCCTATAGCAAAAACCTCTCTCTCAAAAAAAAAAAAAAAAAAAAAAGAAAGAAAAGAAAAGAAAAGGAAAGGAAAGGAAAGGAAAAGAAAAAGAAATGTCAGTCATCCGGCCAGATGGAAGGTACAAGTGAATATAATCTAAAATGCTAGCTAATCTCTGTTCATCAGTAAAAGCTCTGGAATTTTATTCTTACATTTTGAATGTGTCTGATGTACTACAACAGGATAACACATCAACTATAAAAATGAAGGTCTGGGGGCCAGTTAAGGGCATTGGACATCCACATGGCTGACTGTGGCTGGAGTCCTGAACCTAGAAGCTTGCTTTATTCTCACTCTCTCTCTCTCTGATCCTCTCTGGTCAAATTAAATAAATAAATTTAAATAAAAGTAATAACAAAAAAAGGTCTAGTTTGAAAAACTCAAAAGGGACTGGAAAATTGTCTAGTCATTCCACTGGACACCTCTTTTAGCCTTACTCAATATGGGAGACAAAAAACCCTACTGGTCGACCAAAAGCTCCAGCCCACAAAGCATTAGTGTCTGTTTTCCTTATTTATTCATCTGTACCATCTGGGCAGACCGGTTTGTGACATTATTGGATATTCTGGATTAAAAGGTCTTTCCTCCAGCTTAAATCTCATGCGACATGAGGAAGTGGGAGTAAAGAAAGGTAGAAAGATCAAAAAAGTAAGTTCTGAAAATATAAATAAATATGAAGTGAAATTCGAGATGTTTCTGGGTGACTCTGTTCTGCATTGGCTGATTGCTGACTACATCATCAGATGGCTGTAATCAATGTTCTTGTAGGAAAGCAAGATCTGTTTCTCAATACACCAATGCCTCAGGCTTGTTCTAAGACAGAAGTCAGTTTAAAGAGAGGGAGAGGGGAGAGCTGACCCAGAGCTCTTACTTTTTTTAAAATATACAAAAAAGAAAGAAAAACGTCCAGTGTTTCAGATTATCCTTACTGCAACCTGATTAAGCCCCCTCACTGCCTTCCAAGAGGGGCTTGCTGCTCTTTGCAATGTCAGTTTGGTAGGCCACAAGGCTGGATAAAACAAGGGAATGGGGCCAGCAGGTGGCATGGTGATTAAGGGGCTGGCCTCACACGTGGCTGACTGTGTTTCAAGTCCTGGACCTGGTGGCTTGCTTTCTCATTCTCTCTCACTCGCTGTCTCTCTCTGGTGAGTTCATGTTCCTTGTAGCAAATTTAAAAATAATGAGAAATTTAAAAACAGTTAAATCTCTAAGAAAAATTCGAAGGAACAGGCTCCATCCCTGGCCCTTTGCGGATACCCACTAAACTAGGACCCGAGTTTTGCAGACCTCAGGCTGCCTCTGTGATGCTTCCTTTCTCCCCGTGTCCTCACATTTACTTTCCCATAAGCCTTTGTGTTCAGAAGAAAACCATCTCAGAGATTTGAGTGCACCTGAGGTGCAAATCTATTGAACTCATCTCTATAATTTGGCTCCCACTGAGCAGCTAGGCTGCTGCTCCAGCGTCTTCCTGTTTCTTCCACCTGGAATTTTCACTTTGTTACTCTGTGACCTTTATCTAAGATTCATGCAGAAAATGTCTCTTCCAGTTTGAAGCTAGGAAAACATTTGTACCACTTAAAAATGGTATGATTTCTCTTTTAGATGAGAAGCGTTTCTAAGTTTGTTTCCTCTTTTACTTCTGACGTGGCTATCAGGAAGCTCAAAGAAAATGTCTGCTCAGTTTCAAGTCCCTTCCTCAGTATGTGGTTCCTCTTCACCTTGCACTAATAGTTCTTATTTCCTTATCCATTTATTAATTTTTCTATTGGATATATATCTTTCATTCTAATGTCCCTCGAATAATACACTTAATACTGCATACTGGTACAATATAATAAATAAAATGAAATAGTCTCATCACAATATAAAAATCTGTTCCTCTCTCCATTCTTTGAGTTATTCAAGCTTCCATACTGACTAAAATGAAAATATTCCCTCATTTTTTCCATTGAAAACTCTGAAATAGTAGTGCTACATGTTTGACCAAATTCATGTGTGAAGTAAAGAGTTTCTGGAAGGGGTCTGTAAATGGCGTGGGGGTTAAGGCACCTGGGCTCCCACATGGCTGACCATGGTTCGAGTCCTGGAATTGGCAGCTTGCTCTCTCGCTTTCCTTTTCTCTCTGTTTCTCTGCAGTCAATTTTAAAAAAATAAAATTAAATAATGATAATGAATAAAATTAAATTTAAAAAAATCTTTAGAAGAAGTTTCTGGAAGAACAAAAAAGTGCTAAAATGGCCTCTATGAAGTCCTAAAAAAATAAGTGGTGCTTACGTAAGAACTTTGAGGGATGATGAAATGATGGAAAGGATTGAGTTAAGTCACAATGAATAATGATTCATTTGAGGCTGCATAAATGCCCGTGAACAATTCTAAGAGAAAAAAAATCTTGTGGCGCTCCTTTAATTTTCCTGAGGTATGGTTACTTGAGGGCGAAGTTGAGGGGGATGATGTTGACAACACTTGTAGGGTTTTAACAGAACTTTCAGGCCAAATTTAAAAACTGAATGGCTGAGGTGGTATTTTTTTTTTTTTTTTGAGAGGTTTTTACTATAGGGCACGTGCACTCACCAGAAAGACAGACAGAGAAGAGAGACAGAAAGCAAGAAATCACTCGCCAGGGGGGATGGCCACGCCACCATACCTTCTCCTCCATTCTCTCGGGATCTTGGGCATGCACGCACATACGCCCAGTGTGAGTTTAAGCCACCAGGTTCGGGACTCGAACTGCAGTCAGCTACATGGGAGTCCAGTGACACAGCCATTATGCCAACTGCTGGTCTTGGCTGAAGTGTTTTTAAGAAAGAAAACGAAGCTCTCATCTTTTTTATGATAAAAGTTTGAGTATTCTGTCCCTCTGGGTTCAAGGAGCCAATTTATTCAATTATCTGAGTAAACTCCCATGTGAAAACTAAAATTTGATTATCACACACATGTTTAATGTTCTCACAATTTAAAATTTGGTCAACATGAATCAATATTTTACAGATTCCAACTGCTCAATGATTTCAACTGCTATTGATTAAGCTGAGTCTAAACATTTCAGTCCTCTAACTATAGTTACTAATTCACTTTGCTTTATGGATGTTTTTCAATGCCAGCCTCCTACCTGGCCACATGGGAAAAACTGCAGATAGAATTTCACAAATTTCCACAACTACGCTGGTAATAGCAACAGAAGACATCCAAAGTTAGCATCAGACAGATTCTGAGGCCAACTCTATGCCTAATGTGACATGATACAAACTGTGAGTACAAGACTTGTTCAGATGGTACATTTCTGGTTGGGGACAGAGCTGGAATGTCTCACTCACCTGAGACTTTGGCAGAGACGGTAAGCTAAACGGACATGAAGAGGAAAGATGATTCTCCGCATTTGTAACTGAGATGTGATTACTGCCCCAGTTACCAAATATTGTGGGCCTACCCTGTGCTGACCGCGGTGTTAAGCAGTATTCTTCTACTGACTGACTTCATCTCTAGAATAATCCTAAACTTTTCATTATCTTCATTTTATAGATGAGAAAATCGAGGCACTGAGCAGTTGGGTAATCTGCCTGAGGGCAAGCAGTTGGTCAGTGGCAGAGCTAGGCTTCAAACTCAGGTGGTCTGGTTCCAGATCCTGCACTCAAGGCTCTATTGTTGCCAAACCCACCTTGAATGGCTTTATACAAAGACATCTTACATTGGGCCAGCAGGTGGCGTGGTAGTTAAGACACCATACTCCCACATGGCCAACCATAGGTTGAGTCTCAGACCTGGAGGCTTGCTTTCTCACTTTCTCTTCCTCTGTCTCTCTCTGGTGAATTCTAATAATAATACTAATAAATACAATTAAATACATTCTTTAAAAAAAAAAAAAGACATCTTGCACTAAAACAGATCTACAAATGCCTCAGAACCTACAACTAAAGAAACATACTAGTAAGTGAAAATTCAGAAGTGTTCTCAGAAGATACCATTAATACCTTTGCCTATCCAATACTTCTCACTCACATTAAAAGTAAAAAATCTTAATAATCATTTCTAAAAGATTGTTTCATGATAAAAGGGACTTAAAAGAAAAGGTTTCAGAGATGAAGAGTAGGATTGTGGAGAATTCAAACCAGCTTACTACTGCTATCTGCTTCTGTTGTCACCTTTCTGCGACGTAAAATCCTTTCTAACTCAGTTTCACTGTTTTCAGGGTCAAGGGATTTTAAGCTTCTTGAACTAGTGGATTTGTTAAGTGTCCCCTAAAGTGAAAACAAAACAAAAACAAAAAGGTTAATGTCTTAATACAACATACAAAAGAATATAAAAATCATCAAAACATTACCAGAATTTTAATGGAATTAGGAAATAAAATGAACTTTAGCTGTATATATATATATATATATATATACACACACACACATACACACAGAATTTGCTATGTATGTGTATGTGTGTGTGTTCATTTAATGTGCATATCTTCAACAACACCAAGTGTTGGACCATTAAGAAGATGCTACTGAGGATGCAAATGCAAGCTTTCGTGTCAGAAGAATGGTCCAAGGACCCCTCTTGATGCGCTAACCTCGTCAACTTCACGAGTGGGAAGATACCTGCTCATCGATGATTAAGATTCTGACGTGTGCTGATCGGGTGGAGAAGAGAACAGATATATTAAACTCACCTTAGAAGCAAAGCTTGATACGGCAGCCACAAGCTATTAAACCCCAATCTTTGTGGCACTGAAAATGTGTGGCTGATTCTTCCAAGAGAACGACCTTGGCTGTACCCCTGATGGCGGTGGTGTCTGGGCTGCCAAAGGTGGCACACAATGCTCTCTGGTGACCTCCCCCACAAAGGGCTGCACTGAGCACACCTTGACTTCAGAGTGAAAGGAGAAAGTCATCATTGTACAGCAAGGAGGGAAGGGTTGGGCACCTTCCTCCCATCTTCCTCGCAGGAGAGAGGGAAGGTATTACTCGGAGGCCAGAAGATACTGAAGGAAACAAGAGATGCTGCAGAACTGTACTCCTGCGGAGACTGATACTGGCTTTCAAGAAGACAGAGACCCATGCTGTGGCTCCCTGCCCTGGCTCCTTCAGGAAGCACGTTAGGAGGGAGGGCTGTGGTTTTCCTTCTCTCTTACTACTTAAGTGTTTGTATGAAACACAGGGTGATGTACTTCTCAATTCTATGCACAGATTTAGCACTTTAACGTTACAAGTCTTAAATGAGAAATGCCTACTATTTCTCTGAAATGGTCCTCTTCAACTCTACCACAGGCTTGGAGCTGTGGGGGAGAAATCCAGAAAAACCATCGTCTTTTGATCAGAGGAAATAAGAACCTCCAGTCTGGTATAACTTGCCAGACTTCATGCCAGAGTCAAAAGGCAGCTTTTGTCTACCCAGGCTAATAACCATGCCAGCCTTTGTAACGGGGAACAGGCTTTCCTTAATCCTGCTCTCACCCCCTGCCAATTTCCTGAAGGATTCTACACAGTCAACTGGCTAAACATGGTAACCCGTGTGTTTCTTCTTTAGCCTATAAAACAAACAAAAAACTTTCTTATAAAATCAGATGATTATGAACCTTTTGTGATATAGACTATTATGTTGTTTTGTTTAGAAAAGTTGTGTGTTTTTTAACCTAACTGCTTTACGTTATAGAAAAAGCAGCCTGGTGTGTGAAGGAGGGGGACGAGGGAGGGAAACTGACGAACAAGATGAGATTATATTATTTTGCCTAACCAAATGATGTCCAAAAACAGTTAAATAAAGGCTCATATTTTAATCAGGCATATGATACTTTTTCCCCTGTAAGTACCTCTGTTTGCTTTCTATTTATTGCAAAAATTCATAAATTAAAAGAAAAATCACATCACATGTAACACTGTGGTAGCCTACGTTATAATCATAAATGAGATGATTTGGCTTATTTATTTAACATGGCAAATTTGTCGCTAGTTGTTAAAGAGTCATGCAGTAAGGTATGAGTGACATTGACAAGGTTAAAACAAAACAACCTGACAGCCACTTCACATATATGTGAACGAATGACTGGAAAAATGATACCTGTATCATTTGTATCTGTACTTTTTTTCTTTAAGGTTACCAACTAAATCATTTCTAAACACACATTTTAAAAACGTTTATCATTATTAAAATAACTTAGAAAACTACTACATTGTTTGAGTGTCAAGAACTAATTTTCTCAATGGCTGAAGTTAATTCACAGAAAACGTGGTTTGTGTGTGTTTGTGTGTGTGCGGTGTACATATATACCTTCCAAGGATATCTTTCACACCTTCCAATGATTTTTTTTTTTTACCTTTTTTTTGGTCTGTTAAACGTTTCTTCCCTTTGCACTTACACCAACCCTCTATCACCTACCCACTCCCCAAGGATATCTTTGAATTGATGAATTTACTTTCATAACATCTTCTAACTTCTCACTTAGATGACGGCATTATTTTCCCACATTCTGGATTGTGGTAAACTACTCTCTCATCACACTGAATGCTGAAGGAATCCATTTTCCAAGCTGTAACCTTGAACCCCAAACTTCTTTCTCCATATACTAACTGATGCAATAGATTCAGCTAATACATGCATAAATATAGAGGTGATTATGGGAGGAAAAGGTCTCTGCATGACTCCCAACTGCAATGGGGAGAAGCTCGGCCTATAAAGCAAAGAGATTATTTTAGTTATCTATTTGGGTAGAACTGTATAATTTGAGAATCAGAAATTAACTCGGAAATGCTGTAATATACACAATTCTCCCTTACAGATAGGAGATTTCAAATTCAGTAAGTGTCAGGGTTTGGGCCAGGTCCCAGAAATTACTGATTGGGCTGGGTCTAGAACTTAGAGGCTCTAATTCCCAAACCAGCACTCTTTCTCTTTCAAACCACTGTGATTATTTACCAATCTTAGTTCCCACGCTAGTTAACTTTTGTTCACAATACTATCTAAACTAATTGTCATGTGACAAAATTATTCAACAAATTCTGGGTACTTTGAAAAACACTGATGATGTTTCAAAAAGACTTATAAGATAAATTTTTTTAGTTGCTTTTGATACAAAGCCAAGTGAACTTGAGAAGAGACTTTTAGATTAATTCATATAGATTTAGTCTTCAGAAAGCAAAACTGCTGCTTAAGAGTTGCTTTTGAATGACTGAGGATGATTCGGGAGGTTTCATGTCCCAAACCCCCAAACTGCTGTGTGACTATGGGCAACTGACTATATACATGGGTATGTCAAAAAGTTCATGGAAAATGGAATTAAAGTACAAGTTTATTTTGGGGCAAAAACAATTTGTAATTCATGCATAGTTTTTTTTTTCATAGTATGCATTTTCAATGAGCTTTTTGAAGACCCCAGTGTATTTTATCTACAAAATATACAGCTGTAAAAATTAAGTGGAAGTAGGTCTGGAAAAATGAGTTCAGTCAACACTGAAAATTGAAAAACTGGCTTAAAAATTTTACAACTCAAAAAACAGAATAGGGTTTTTTTCACTCCTCCAAAACAGATATGATTTCCATCTGTGTGCTAGCTTTCAGCAGTAGGCCAGCTCTCCATGTCTCACAACATGGGTCACATTCCACTTCAGTAAAAAGACCCCATGGAAAGCTTCTTCCTGGCCTCTGTTCTACAATAAACTGCTCACGGTGCCTCTTGGTGAAGGTGCGAGCTTTCTACTTAAGTACACGACTGTAAGCTTTCAGTGTTCTTTCTTACTCGTTTCTCACATGTCATGTTTGTAAGGTGAACTGTATGTTTTACGGGGCACTAACTTTGATGATTCTAATAGTCTGAACTCCGGCAAGAGAAACAAATTACGACCCATTTGTCTGAGCTAGGGACCCAAGCTGAGCTAGGGACTCCCTTTCTCTTTCTTGATGAGAATGTGTATGGGGACAGCCCAGAGCCTAGTGCTTAAGAGAACCAGATCCCGGGAACCAGCAGTTAGTAATGGCTATGTCGCTGGACTCCCACGTAGTCGACCGTGGTTCGCGTCCCGGACCCGGTGGCTAAACTCATGCCGGGGGCGGGTGGGTTCGTGCCCAAGATCCCGGG